CCCCAAAACCCCAAAACCCCACGGAAAATCATAATAAATTAATTAAAACTTGAACAAAATATATAATTATAAGAAAATGTAAAGCTATTAAAACTATCTCAAGATTGAATAAGATGATGATAAAACTGAGGGCAGATCTTAGAATTATAGATATATACAGGCTCCACAAGCAAATTTATTTGAAAGTTATCAAAATTAGGTCAATGTGAGATAATTTATTGACCCAGTTCTTGATAGATAACCAGAAAATCTGTATGTAAAGCAAGATATTGATAGAGTAACACTGGAGGCTATTGGAGAATAGGACACTGTAGAATTAAGAAAGAAAATGATGCTCCTTGAAATGCATAAGAAAAACGCAATGAAGCATGAACCATATCAAGAAACTAATAATAAAAGACCTGGACCAGGTCTAGAAGTAACTGCAAATGAAAAAGATGAACTTCTAGCAAGGAGAAATTTTACTTGGACCAAGCCAAAATTTGATTTAACATCAGCTAGAATTTAGCTAGAATTAGTAGACTGGAAAAAGGTTTTATCAGTTTATTGTGCTAAAAGTAGTTCAAGTGGAGTATTTTTTGCAAGTTAAATTCATGGTGCTTTTGTTATTAAAGCTTGTGCAGATGTAGTCTCATCATTTTTCGCTTCTAAATTATACTAAAAACTGCACATCCCAACACCTGATATAAGAGTTCTAGCTCATCAGGAAAAAGAATTTAAGTTTATGCTACATTCCCTCGAAAGAGTTTCATTTCATGATGACACTCTGAGATATATGATTAGAATACATATGGATAGACCTTTCATTCTACTCTAAGAATATATACCAGCAGTAAGCTTGTAAAATATGGGATAAAAGAGAGCAGATAGATGCTTTAACGTTGCCTATCCAGATGCTTCAAACAGATTGATAAATATAGGAAAGATTATAGCCGCTGATTGCTGTGTAAATAATCCAGATAGAATGCCAATGATCTGGGATAACCATGGAAATTCCACAAATATTCTATTTGAAATAAATACGGATGAGAAAATTGATGATGAAAAAATTGCAAATATGGATTACTCTGACTTCTAGTTCTCTTCAGCTGTTGCAATTGATAATAAAACTTTTAGTATCCATTAAAGAGATAGAGCCTAAATAAACTATTTAAAAGACTATATTAAGAGAATTGAGTCATTTGTTGAGGCAGTATTTACTGATCTAAGGTTAATCATTAATGGTGACGTGGCTGTCAATGACTATCACTATCCATCTATTAAGAGAGTAAATTATATAGTTAAATATATTTATTTAGGTACTTGATTTTTACAAAAATCATACACTTTATGAAATTAAAGGAAGAGCAGCATTTAGAATTATAGAGGGTATTATTATAGGATTCTTCAATATTTAAAATGAGGGTTATAAAAGTGCATTGCAAGCTTATGAAGAAACTAAATAAGCTGTCTAAAAAGATTGGAAAGATGTTTGGAGTCACGGCCTTAAAGAAATTGAGTTAGAGTTCTTTGAATTAACTATGAATTCAGTTGATAAATAAATGAAAGTATATGAAGAGGAGGTGAAGTGGGTCATCAAAACGAACTTATTTACTTTCGTTATAGATCACGTAATTGAGGGCAAAGGTAGCTATTTGATTCAGAAATTAAGAGAAGAAGAAGATAAGACAGCATTATCTAGAAATGAAGGAGGAGATGGAAACTATAGTGAGTAGAATCAAATCTAGTCCAGATAAGAAAATTATTAATGATTAATTTCATAAATTTGTGATATTCATCGAATAAGGGGTTTTGGGGTTTTGGGGTTTTGGGG